AGAGCAGCTGCTCAGGAGAGTGAGGCTTCCCCAGCACCTGCCAAGAAAGTCTGTGCCACCTCTGGACTTGTTGGGGCTTCACCAGTGGAACCATCAAGAGAGCTCATCCAGAGATTTAATCTCCGCAAGCTCACGGTTCCACTGGTTCGCCTGGACCTGAAACGCCATCCTGAGCTCATGGTTCGCCTCGCTCCAGTCGACCCTGAAGCTGCTTGCAGGGCCCTTGGACAGAGCAACAGCTGCTCATCTTCTCAGCAGCACAGCCCAGCCTGCCACCCATCAGGTAGGGAAAGAGTTTCTCCCCTTCCTTTTCCAATAGCTCCTGGCAACTGAGCCTTTCAAATGTTTTCGCTGAGTCCTCTGTCATGGCTAGATCTCAAGTGAGAATCACGGAGAAATGTACTAGGAAGTGGGACTGTGAATGCCAAAGGATTCTCTTCTCTTCCTGTCCTTCCTGCAGATGTGGAGGTTGTTGTGGGCATTTTCCAGACAGCCTGTCTGCTGAGGTGCAAGGGCAAGGTGAAAAATATTGCCCGCCAGACAAGTGGTCAGTGTTAGGTGAACTCCCCTGTTTCTTGGAATGAAGTCCAACTAGGACGGTGATAGGATATTGCAGATGTTTCAGACTGACTGCCCTGCAAATCGGGCCGTGCCACTGAAATGAGCTCTGTGTGCCTCAGAACAGCTGCAGCTGCAGAACATGGCCTCACCTACAAGGTTGCTTTTCGAATAAACTCCCAGTTGAATTTCTCAGTCTGTGCCTGAAGATGCGGGCTCTTCTTGGGTGAATGCACGTTCTGTGGCCTTCTGTGATGAGAAACTCAAGCAGCCAAATCTAAAAGCTGCTGGGGAGATAGGGAAGGCTGTGATTCTAAAGTTGTTGTGTGCCTTTGGAGCAGAAGGGAGAAGAGCTGGCAGCTGGCTTTCTGGCAGTTGCCTCCTGCCCAGGAATGGCAGTGGGACACTTTTCCCAGACAGATGAATAAGTACGGGAGAGCTGAGTAGACAAGGAATTGGTTGTTGCAAAGCTTCAGAACATGTGGGGAATTTTCTCCTTCTCACCCTACTTGGGAGGATGGGAGCTTCTGTCTTCCTTGGGAGAAGTACACTTGCTGCCAAGGGAAACAGAGCTGAGGAGCAGTAGTGACCCAGCCTTCCCTTTGCTTCCTTTCTTCTTCCCTCCCTGCTGCACAGCTCCTTGGTGCCAGAAGCGCAGTGCTGCCTCACCTGAGGATTCAGAGCTGCCTCCAGGCCCTTCCAGGACAAGTCCAGATCCTCAAGGGCGTGAAGCTTCCCCAGCACGTGCCAAGAAAGTGTTTGCTACATCTGGACTTGGGGTTTCATCAGCCCGGCCAGGCACACACAAATTTCAATTCCAGCCAGAGCTCATGACTCCACCATTTCCTGCGCACCATCAAAGCACTTCTGCGGCCTCTCCAGAGAGCAGCAGCTGCACTTCTCCAGAGCAGCACTTGCCAGCCAACATCCCATCAGGTACGGAATGTGTTTCTCCCCTGGCTTTTCAGAAAGATCACAAAAAGTGACTGAAGTATTTTGCCGCGGTGCTCTGTCATGTGTCCATTTGATTGTGACAATCAGGTGTCAAGGGTACTAGGAAGCAGGATCATGAATATCCGAACAATCTCTGTCTGCTTTTCCCATCCTTGCTGCAGATTTGGAGGATGTTCTGGCCATTTTCCAGGCAGCCTCTGTGTAGTGGTCAAAGGGTGAGGCAAAGAACATTTCTCCACAACTGGTCAGAGTCAGGTGAACTCCCATTTTTCTTTGGATGAAGCCAAACTAGGACTCTGATGGGATATTGCAGAGTTTACAGATTGTCTTTTGTTGAGATGGAATACAAGGGATGGGACCACCGTGCTTTGAGATGATTTATTGCTTAAGTAGCCAAATAAGAGATCAGTCCCGAGGCGTGAGATTTACAGGCAACAAGTCAACCACAGCTCGAGGAAGTTATGAGTTTCTTCTCCGCATGGCAATATATAACTTTTTAGTCCAGTAGACAGTTGACACCAAGTTTGTTTTCACTTATTAAGCTCTTATCACCTTTACTTGATTTTGCCACCCTGCGTCTGTCTTTTAACCAACAAGCTAACAGGTCATGTAT